TAGGAATTCTGGGGAGTGTAGCTGTTCCTTTGTGATGTCTCTTTTGCGTGTCAAATTTCCCCTTTACCCTCTTTGGAGGTTCCTTCGTTGTCTCCTCCCTAGGGAGGAGGGTCCTGCCTGTCTGCACGGTTATCTACGGCACACATTTAACTTCTCTATTATGTTAAATGTCGGCATCCATCAGGTTTAAACCTTTACGTTACACAGAATATTATTCTTCTACTTAGGTGCTCCTACCATGTTAGGCACCCTCGGTAGTCCCTCATCATCTACTCTCAGTCCCGTCCTAGCGTCTCTGACCAATCGGTGCTGAGCTTCAGGGGTATTGTCATACTGATATTCTGTACAAACTGTGAAGACCACTGAGACAAATGTAACATTGGTGATATTGGGCTATATAAATAAACATTGATTGATTGAATACACTTCTCATTTAGTTCAGCTCCAAAGAAAGAAAGAAGATAAAAACTAAGCAATTGTCCTTTCTCTTCTCACCTCCATTTTCTTTGACCTTCACTTTTTCTAATTCGACTGCACAGGATAATAAGAGTATTTCATCACGTCGCCTGTAAGCCGCTGTGGGTCCGTGACTGAAATGTAAACTCTGGTAACTTTGTCATTGAGTAAGTGAGAAAGAACTTAGTAACAGAGTTTTCAGGGATCATCGGTGTGTGTTTGACTGAATGTAGATTGTTCTGTAAGTGAGGAGGGAGTTGCTCCATCACTTTGTACAATCATATTGCACTCATAGCTTGTTCTTCATGACTAATTGCTCAGTAAATAATGTGAACCCAAACAGAGGCAGCTGGGAGTCTAGTGCGCTCATTAGGACGAGAGGCATCGCTGAACGAGAAGAACAAACACAACCTGTGATTACTGGAATCCAACGCCGGTGCTCCAATCAGAACAAAAACATTTACATTTTGATGTTTTCAAGGCGTTTACTTTACACCCTTATCAAAGGAGAGACTTTCTGTAAAGACCAAGAGAATTGTAGCAACCAACATTTATTAATGAATACTTTATAACGGCCCAATGACCTTAATTACATACATTTTCACAATGACAAACTGGTAAATAATAATTTGCATTCTTTGCTCTTAACAGGAAACGATTGTCAGCATGCAAAACAGTTACAACGTAAACTGTTGTTGCCTCTATTTGTTAGTTATAGCATTTGATGAGCTGAGTTTAAGATGCTCTGAGATTTGTCACAAATTGTAAAGCACTTACTCATCACTGTACACTGTATACCAAGGCAGGTTTACCATCACTCACTGTACGGAGGCTCAGTCACTGGTACACTTTTATCTATAAAGCTATGNATATAAAACAAGATAAAACACACAAAAAAATCGATTTAATTATATAAATAAAATGTATATAAAATGAATAAATGAGAATGGTATCTGTGTTGTTGATCTGTAATCAGATCAACAACACAGATACCATTCTCATTTATTCATTTTATATACATTTTATTTATATAATTAAATCGATTTTTTTGTGTGTTTTATCTTGTTTTATATGTTTAATATATTTCCATAGTGTTTCTCTTTTGGAACACTAACAATTTAACAATGTTTTCCGTTGTAATGTATAATTTCTCTGAATAGTTTCATGAATCTACAAAGCTTTTCTAAAAAAGATATCACCCACTATATGCTGCTGCAGTGATCTCACAGAAGGAAAAATAAAGTTCAGATTACTGTCTCTTGGATTAATAATAAACTGTCATAATATTAGTTTAATATTACCTGTGTTGTGATGTTTTTTTGTTTGTTTTGATGGCACCCTTGGGGGGAGAGGCATTTATTTATCTCATTGTACCTGTATGACATTAAACGATTCTATTCTATTCTCTTCTGTTATATCGTCTCCATTTTTCTTTCAGGGATGTATCAATATAATGTGTGTGTGTGTGTGTGCAAACATTTGTGAGGATGTAGTTTGAGGTAGAACATAAGTAAGAGGGGGATTTTCAACATGCTATACTATAACTTCTTTCATATTTTTCTACTTAATAAACTGACTTTTCTCAAATTGTTGACGTGCTATGCTATGGAGGCTGTGGTTCAGTGGTTTAGTGTGCTGGTTCAATCCCCACTGCAGTCAGCATGCCTGTTGGTGTTTCTCAATGTCGCTTCCTTAGTAGGACATGTCCCTCCGAGTCAGGTCCTTCAGAAGCGAGGCAAGAATCCTTCCTAGCCTCGGAAAACGAAGAATCGTGGAACAGGCTAACAGGCTAACAGGCTAACAGGCTAACAGGCTAACAGGTGTGCGACATTGAGAAACACCCTCTAAGTCCTTGGGCAAGACACTTCCCCTAAAAATTGCTCCAGTGGGAACTGCCCACAGTATTGAGTTTATGTAAGTCAATTTTGGGTAAAAATGTGTATTGACTTTTTTTACATTTTCAACATAGCCTACTATACTTTACTTCACTATAAATCTTAAAGAATCATACAATGTTATGACTTTTCATGATATTCTGGACACAACTATGATAGAACATTCTTCATGTTTTTGGACAGACTACCCTTTTACTTTTTTCATGATATTTTCAACACACTTTACTTACTTTTAACTGACTACACACTAGTCTAAACATCTCTAACACTGGCTGGTTAAAGATGGCTGGGAACCTTTCTGAGTGGAGCACGCATTTGAAACACATTATTATAAAGACATCCACTGCAGAATATTCTAACACCCCGTGTAAAGACTCTCACTTCGGTTTGACTCATTTCTCTTTTATTTGAAATGCAACAGCAGGTTTGACACCATGCAGCCATGTTGTCTGCAGGGTGTCTTTGAGCAAGACATTGATCAGTTTGACTTTAAGTCCTTCTGGAGCGTGATGATCTCTCTCCTGCAGGCCGGTACAGGGCGTAGGAAGTACTTCTCTCTTCTCCCCTCCATCAATATCACAACACACATCTGATGTCAAAACGAACGAAAGTCATTTTGTAACCATAATAATTATACATTCAAATTAAATCAGAGTACTTCAAAAACAAACGATTGCACATTAAAAACCAAAGCTGGAGAAGAAATAACACATTTTTGGCATCTGTTTTGAACCGGTGATGTCATGTGGATTATTTTAATCTACTGAAACAGAGAGGAAACAGAACGGTAGAAACAGACCGAAAGTCCGCTGAGCACACCTTATAACGAGAACATGTATTAAGAAAGCCTTTACCAGCTGATCTGGACACAGCGTGTTCCTCAAAATGACAGAAACCTCTGACAAAGTATCTAACTATTTAAGTGACTGTTAGTGACACTATTTTAACTGTTTGCTGAATCTTTTTTAGACATGTTTGTAAAAAAAAAACGGTCTGACATTATTAAAACAGGTGAATTGTAATATTTCAGAAGCTGCAACCAGTGCATTCTTAACATTTTTGCTTAACCTTAAATATTTATAAACTTTTTTCAGATCACAATTTACTAATCAGATAACAACCTTGTGATTAAAGTCTAAATATGAGGGTGTTTGTAACCTTGCACAGTGGAAGAGGCTGGAGTTAAACAATGTAATTGTCTGAAACATCAGAAACTGAGGAAAAGCACATACATTCTTACCCTAAGTAAGAAATGTAGTATTAATATGGGCCACAGTGTGTTTGATATACCAGAGGGAGGCACCTCCAGTTTGATCTGCTGCTTGTTCCACATCAGCTCCTCAGGCTTCCTTATTGTTTAAGATTCTGTATTTAGAAACGATGGCAGTGTGTGAATGGTAAACATAAACTCCAGGTTTCAGCAGGTCAGAAAGCTGACGGTCGATATCACAGAAGTCACAGTCGAGGTGTGATGTTAGCTAGCACACAAACGCACATAAACAAACACACACACTTGTGAGCAGTTTGAGCGTTGAGTTGTTCAGGCACTTGTTCCCAAGGCTTCCTTTGGGCTCCTCTGATCACACTAATAGCTAATAAGTGATCGACTAGGAGATGACAAACAAGTGACGGTTAGCAAAGGGTTCATTGCAGCTGCGTGGAATAATAGCTATCAAACAACGACCTAACATACTGACTGTAAAGCTGACTGACTAATTCATTAACTACCAGAATAGAGTGTGTTTCATTAAGTCTGTTACCAAATGTGCCACATGTTGTTTTATGTGATGCTAATAGCTAAGGCTGCGCTCAGATTAAAAGAAAGACAGTCCTGATACTGGAAAAGTAATTATTATTAAACATATAAATAAACATACTATACAATGAGAAATGTGCAACCTATGTCCTGATTAGCAGGGAAGAAAATGAATATAGCATAGTATTAAGATGTTTTGCGTGAAAATATTGTATAGGCAAGTATTTTTATTGT